GTGCTGGGATTACACACCTGCCAGTATTTTTATTTTTTAATTATATTTATTTTATATAACACACAAACTCGTGTGTGTGTGTGTGTGTGTGTGTGTGTGTGTGTGTGTGTAAGCCAAGAAACAACTTGTGGGAGTCAGTTCTCTCCTGCTATGAGGTCTAGAGTAGGGGATCAAACACAGGTCATCAGGATTGCTTGCTGGCATTAAAAAAAATTTTTTTGAGACAGGATCTCATGTAGCTCCGGCTGGTTTTGAACTCTCTGGGTAGCCAAGCCATCACATCCAGTTGTTTTTTGTAAGATAGGTGACTATCAGACTGACAAAAGTCACAGAGAATCTGTGACAACAAGCCACATGGAGACTATTTATGCTGTAGATGGGAGTGAGCAAATTTCAGAGATTTCATATGATAGAACTCCTCAGCTTCAGACCCAGGGCGTCTTCTTTCTTAGTGGCTCAAGAAGTCCAAGTGAAGGTGTGAAGAGAACAAGTGTATTCAGGGACATTTACTGCTGTGGCCATGTTGTCCTATGGGTCCATTAACTGGGAACACGGGAGACAAGCATGGGGCCAGATGCAGCCAGATGGAGGGGCCTCAGTGCAGTGGTGAATACCAATCTCATTTGCTCTCTTTGGAGGTGTGTTGGTATGAATGAGAATACCTCTTTAGGCTCATATAGTGGATGCTTGTCCGAAGCTAGTGGACTGTTTAGGAAGGATTAGGAGGTGTGACCCCTTGGAGGAGGGACTGTCACTGGAGTCGGGCTTTAAGGTTTCAGAAGTCCATGTCAAACCAGGACTGCCACATGCACACCAAGGCACGCACTACCCCACCCAAATAAATAAACAAACTCAATTTTTTTTTAAAAGAACTCAATGTGTAGCTAAGGATGAAATTTAGCTTTTGGTCCTCATGCCTTAGTCTTCTGAGTGACAACACTACAGATAAGCACTCCACCTGGCTTTGGACACCTTTCTGCCCCTTAATTTCCTTCTGTAATGGGCATAGGAACAGTTTTTCTCAGGTTTGCTTGTTTTAAACTTTTTAACATTTGTTTGTTTGTTTGTTTATTATTTGTCCATGTGTGTGTGCACATGGCTGCTAGTATGTGGAGAGGTCAAAAGACAACTTTCAGCAATTTGTTTCTCTCCTTCCATCATGGGGTCCCAGGAATGGAACTTGGGTCGTTAGTCTTGGTGGCATGTGCTGTTACCTGCTGGCTTAGTGGGTAAAGGCACTTACACAAAGATGAGGAGCTGAATTTGACTTCCAGAACCCACGTTAAAACTAAGTATGGTAATTGGGCATGGTGGTGGCGCATACCTTTAATCCCAGCACTTGGGAGGTAGAGGCAGGTGGATCTCTGTGACTTACCGGCCAGCCTGGTCTATACATTGAGTTCCAAGACAACGAGGGCTACATAATAGGAGACCCTGTCTTAAAACAACAAAACAAATACATAACAATCCAGGCATGTCTGTCTGTGCCCATAACCCCAGCATGGGATAGGGGCAGAGACAGGACGGTCCTGGCAGCTGCCTGATTAAGCCAGCCTACCTAAAATGGTAGCCAGGTTGAGACTCTGTGTTATGGGAATCCTATGAAGAACAATAAAGGAAGACACCAGAGGCCCCCCTCCTCTGGCCTCCCACACACATATGGGGCACAGGCACCTTGATGCACGAGCACATACCCACATATATGACACATACACACACACACATACATACATACAAAATGGTAAATTTATTTTTTAATTTTTTTTTCAAGACAGGGTTTCTCTGTGGCTTTGGAAGCTATCCTGGAACTCACTCTGTAGACCAGGCTAGTCTGGAACTCACAGAGATCTGCCTGCCACCTGGGATTAAAGGCATGTGCCACCACCACCCAGCTAAAACAGTAATTTTTATTTTTGGTTTTGTTTGTTTTTTGAGACATGATTTCTCTGTGTAGCCCTATGTGTCCCAAGACTTTTTCTATAAACCAGGCTGGCCCCCAAAATTGTAATTTTTAGAGATGAATTACAGAGTTCTCATATGAACTTATTCCCAGCTGCTTATGTTAACTTTTTGTTTTGTTTTGTTTTTTGAGACAGGATTTCTCTGTGTAGCTTTG